ACTACAGTCACAAAAATTTCGGAGTTCAATTTGATATAAGAAGACTAGATTAAACAAGTTTTTGAAATGTTCATATGCATGCTCATTTTCATTTTTCGTAATGCAAATAGTTTCGAGTTGTTGTTATAATTTATGCATTTCCAATTAAGATTTCAAAATCATTTTTTTGACTCCATTGGAATTTTTATGTAGTTTTACAAGTCTAGCAATTAAATTTCATTTATTGTTTATCAAAAGTTTGAGGAATAGAGTCAATAAGTTTGCGTTATTTTGTATGTTGTGTTCATATAAATCCAGTAAATAATTATGTTCATCTTATTATGCAGTTAAATTTTTCTTTTTTTAAATTGATTGGTTCAGGTATTTAAATGTCTTTTTTGTTACTGGTACTGCTTTCACAAAAAAAATCATATCTTTAATGATAAAGTCAATAATGTTGAAAAAAATTTATGAAACAAAGTTCTATAAAAAACAATTAGGAGCCCAGCTAAAGTTGGTGGCCCGTGCTTGACATTGAACGAACTTGCTATACTGACACGGCACAAAAAATGTGAATTCAACAATTGGATTTGGCCCAAAATCTTAGTTGTTTCTCCAATAAAAAAAATTGAGAAGTGCATAAACTTTTGAGATAATTAATTTCTCAAGGAAATAATTTTTCTCTGAAAAATATCAAGGAGTCAACGTTTCTTCGGGAACAATTATGGCAATTGGTTTTTATATTTGAACTTTTCATCTCAGATTTGATTGTGCAAGTTTCAAGAAAATTGAAAAAATTTCAGGAAAAAACAATCAAAAGTTCTGAGAAACTGTCAAAAGACTTTCAAAAAACCGTAAAATTTTTCACAAAAACCGATTGTGGCCGCTTAAGCAGAGGTTTATTGATTGAATACAACGTGAGAACTTGCACGGTAGTTTTCGCGTAAAGTCAAAAAATTTCCAAAAAACTGCCGAAGTTTCAAAACTTTGACCTGAAAGAAAACCATAATTTTTTCTTAAGACAGCTCGACATCGCCAATTATAAAAGTAGGTTTTCAATAACCTGTTGCTTTGATTTGCTTAAACTTGATATCAGGTTTGGCAGGAGCATTAGCGAGAAAAGTCCAAAAAACGGTCAACAAATCAAAAATTGGACATTTTGGAGAATCATAGATTTTTGTGTGGAAAAAGGAGTATCAAGTAATTGCAAAGTTTAATAAACCCATGAAAAAGAAAACGACTGACTTGTCCGCTTTTTCTGAAAGACTTCCCTAGTCGATCAAGGAGGAGTATCTTGCATGATCTTGCAAGATCCTTGCAAATGATGTTTTTCTTGCAAGATCCTGCAAGATGGAGGTTATCTTACAAGATCTTGCAAGAGTGAGGTTATCTTGCAAGATGCTTGCAAGATCATGCAAGACAACCAACTTTTAAAAAATTTCACAAAACCTTATTCTGAGTGCCAAAAAAACTATGATCGAATTTGACTACAGTCACAAAAATTTCGGAGTTCAATTTGATATAAGAAGACTAGATTAAACAAGTTTTTGAAATGTTCATATGCATGCTCATTTTCATTTTTCGTAATGCAAATAGTTTCGAGTTGTTGTTATAATTTATGCATTTCCAATTAAGATTTCAAAATCATTTTTTTGACTCCATTGGAATTTTTATGTAGTTTTACAAGTCTAGCAATTAAATTTCAATTATTGTTTTTCAAAAGTTTGAGGAATAGAGTCAATAAGTTTGCGTTATTTTGTATGTTGTGTTCATATAAATCCAGTAAATAATTATGTTCATCTTATTATGCAGTTAAATTTTTCTTTTTTTAAATTGATTGGTTCAGGTATTTAAATGTCTTTTTTGTTACTGGTACTGCTTTCACAAAAAAAATCATATCTTTAATGATAAAGTCAATAATGTTGAAAAAAATTTATGAAACAAAGTTCTATAAAAAACAATTAGGAGCCCAGCTAAAGTTGGTGGCCCGTGCTTGACATTGAACGAACTTGCTATACTGACACGGCACAAAAAATGTGAATTCAACAATTGGATTTGGCCCAAAATCTTAGTTGTTTCTCCAATAAAAAAAATTGAGAAGTGCATAAACTTTTGAGATAATTAATTTCTCAAGGAAATAATTTTTCTCTGAAAAATATCAAGGAGTCAACGTTTCTTCGGGAACAATTATGGCAATTGGTTTTTATATTTGAACTTTTCATCTCAGATTTGATTGTGCAAGTTTCAAGAAAATTGAAAAAATTTCAGGAAAAAACAATCAAAAGTTCTGAGAAACTGTCAAAAGACTTTCAAAAAACCGTAAAATTTTTCACAAAAACCGATTGTGGCCGCTTAAGCAGAGGTTTATTGATTGAATACAACGTGAGAACTTGCACGGTAGTTTTCGCGTAAAGTCAAAAAATTTCCAAAAAACTGCCGAAGTTTCAAAACTTTGACCTGAAAGAAAACCATAATTTTTTCTTAAGACAGCTCGACATCGCCAATTATAAAAGTAGGTTTTCAATAACCTGTTGCTTTGATTTGCTTAAACTTGATATCAGGTTTGGCAGGAGCATTGGCGAGAAAAGTCCAAAAAACGGTCAACAAATCAAAAATTGGACATTTTGGAGAATCATAGATTTTTGTGTGGAAAAAATAAGGCGTAGCCGCTTATGCCGAATGACTTAAGCAACCTGTCAGTTTGAATGAACCTAAAAAGTCAGATTTGAGAAAGTTTCAGAAAAAAAACTTTCAAAAAAACGGCCAAAAACAAAATTTCCAAGGGCCATAACTTTTGATGTCAAAATAATTCGGAAGTAGTCGCATAAGCAAATGAACTTCTCATAACTCGTGCTTCGAATTGATCCCAAAATCTCAGATATCTTAGGGAAGTTTTCGAGAATGCTCAAAAAAATTAAAAATTTGACTTTTCTGAGTGCGGTAACTTTTTGTGTAGAAAAATTTTATGAGTGGCCCCTAATTCAGAGGAGCTCTACTGCAAGGGATCTCCATTGAAACAACAAATTCAGATTTGAGAGGTTAGTTTCCGAGAAAATTCAAATCGATTTAAAAAACGGTCAAAAATTAAAAACTTGACAATTCCAAGGTCCATAACTTTATGTGTAAAAAAATTGAGCCTGGCTGCATATTCAGGGAGCCTTTTGGAACTGTTCTAATCATTGTATGCAAAAACTCAGATGTGAGAGGTGTAGTTTAGGAGAAAACGAATAACCAATCACAAATTTGGGGCCATAGATTCTTTTTACAAAAAAAATGGCTCAAATGTTACCCCCATAGACGTTTTCGAAAGCTATAGGCAGAGTGGTAAAAAAACTCTAGAGGATTATGCAGCTCACAAGAGAATAAGCAATATTTTAATTGATACCCATTTTTGAAAATCAGTTGAAGTTTCTGAGAAAAATAAAAAAATTTCCTATAAATTTGAAAATAACTTTCCATAACGAAAAAAAAACATCAAACTGATTGGTAAACATGCAACCAAGTTGAAAAGTGCTGAGGCAGTGTTAAAGTTGTGTTTCCCTTAATTCAACCCAAAACTAGGTGATTAGGCCGATAAAATTAGGCCGAAATACGAAAAAAAAAACGAAGAAGGGAACACAAAGTCATAGTAAGTAAAATTATATAATGTACGAGTAAATCAAACACTAAAAGCAACATTAAAATAATGCGCACAGCAAAAAAACGATTCCAAGATGTGACAATAAAGCCGAAAGCAAATACGCAGAACAAAAAACGGTAAATAGTTAGGAATACGTATCGATACGATAGATGCGTCCTTTCAACTAGAAAAAGAACAAGACTGCTCGTATCAGGGCGAAAACCTGGAAATTCCGACTGCCTTTTAAGGTTTTATGGAGCACTAATAACATTAAAAAATTAAATGTAATAAAATAACAGTGAAAAGTTCCGAATAATTCTCTATTACATCCATCAAACATATTTGACTGAAAGAAAAATAAATAAAATTAAAAAACAAATTTATCCCCCACACCCGCGATATCATGCTCACCCCCCCCCCCCCCCGCTCCACACACAATGCAAAAGGATATACTTTGCGACTAGTTGCTAAAAAAGACCAAATCACTTGCCCAAGTACATTTTTAAAAAATTTCTGAGCTAGAGTAACTAGCCGCATACGCGCTAACGATCATTTATATTGTTTGTTAAATTCATAAAGTGAACCATATTGGTTATTTCCGAACCCGACTTTTTTCACACAAAATTGATCATAGGTGAAACATTTTTTGAGCTCAGAGCATTGATATCTTGCAGATAGTATTATGAAATCGAAAACTGTCAAAAAATTGAAATTAATCTGAATATTCCATCACAGTTCCGACTTTGAAAGAATTTGACGGAATTGTGCATCGAATGTTTTTTATGTCGGGAATTTTTGAATTTTTGAGGTTTTTTTACAGCGTTTTAAAATATTGATGAAATGAGCTCAAAAAGAAAACAGATATTTAATGATCCATTTTCGCGTAGCAATAGGGGTATGGATATGACCAATGTAAGCCAATTTGGTATAATAATGCGCGCTTATGACCATTTTTCTATAAAAAATTATATTGAGGCAAGTTTTTTTGATCTTTACAACAGCGTAACTAGACGAGAAACATACCACTTTGTTCTTGAAATTGCGTAAGTGGAATGATTTGCAGAAATAAAAGAAATTTTCGAAACTTGAATGTGTTTTATCTTATCTTTACTAAGCCGAAAACAACTTCAGATACCTTTATAGCACACCCGGACATTCATCACATTCAGGGATCCCTGATACCAGAAAATCTAAGGGCTCTTGGCTCTTTTCCAGTTCCCCCCTTTCAAAGTACCAAGTTTTATGTTTGTTTTACGTGTTATTACGGCTAAATGGGTGATGTTACGCTGTTAAGTATAAAGAACAAATCTGTTCACAGTTGTCAATTTGTTCACCACGCTAAATTTCATAGCATTATGACAACGTTAAATAAGCTTTTCAAAATTGAATATGAAAGGGGGGACTGGAAAATAGCCAATCTAAGCTTGTCATTTCAATAGGGTTCCCCATGTTGATGTTTCTCAAATTAATTAGATTATTCTTACATAGCAGTAATTTTAAACAATTATTTCCTAGAGTAATAGTTTATGTTATTCAGGGGGCAAAATTGTCAGCTATCATGTTTTTATCATTTGATGAGCCCTTTCTTCAACTCTTTTCTCATCGTCTTCCCATTTCCGTTTCTCGGAATTTGGTCTATGAAGTACACTTCCCTAATCTGTTTGTAAGCTGACACTGAGGCAGCCACGTGTGCTATAAGTGTCTCTTTTATTTTTTCCTGGGGCATTAATGTCCCTTTGGGGGAGGGGACTACAAATGCGACTGGGCTCTCCACGTTGCTGACGCTGGGCTCACCGACGACAGCGCAATCCATAACCAAGTCACTTTGCATCACAATCTAGACAAATAATAGAAAGTATGAAGATGAAACCCGACTGCTTCTATCAGGGCGATGTTTTGATTGTTCCAATAACACTTTAGCGTCGGTTAAAAATTTATGGTTACAAAAACTTTGTAGAAAAACGAGCGAATAAAAAAGAACAAAACAAATGTTTTTTTTTCTTTTTTTTTTAGTTTATGTTAAAACAATTTGTCCCAGGTGAAGTATCTTTTTAATCATGATTCTGCCAAAAAGGGCCAGTTAGTCCAAAATGTCAAGTTTATTGAAACTTTTTTAGACAAAAGTTGTTCAAGACTAGCTGAGGGGCATTCGGATCATTCAGGTACGTGCCCTGATATACAGCACTCTTGGTGTTTTAGGGTAATTTTCCACGGCTTTGAATGCATTATTTTTGGTAATCTGAAAAACATCAATGGCTTCAGCTGACAACTTAGACGCTTGTTTTTTCTCTAATAAGTTGTTTATTCTGCCATTCTTTTCTGTAAATTACAAAATGTGGTTTAATTCGGCTCTGAAATTGAACTAACTTTAAATCAAAACTTAACTAAATTGAGATATTTGTTCTACTTTTTGTGTCATCAGAAGCAAAAACTGTTGGTTTATTTTTTAGATAGTGCGTGTGAAAGTCAACTACAAAAACAAACAAAAAAGAATCCATTTTTTGCCAAAAATGTATATTAAAATTTTTCAAATTTTTCAAATCAAAAACTACTTTAAATACGTCAACAAGCAGTCGGAATTTTCAGATTCTACTGTGTTTAAGCTCGTAGGAGTCCAATTATAGTATCATGTATCATATTAAAGACTCTTCAGTCCTTATTAAAAATGAGCAATAAATGTCGTATGATAGACGCTTTTTTGCAGCAGGCCCTTTTAATGGAAAAAAGAAGATTTTTTACCAAAGTATTTCAAACAATTTTACCAATTAGACTTTTTTGAAATTTTTTTATGGAACAAAAGCTTGAAAATCAGAAAACTTTTAAATTAAATTGGTTCCAGAAAAATTGTTTCATGGGAACAACTAAAAAAGCGCCCAGCTTTGGTTCCTATTTCCGCAGAAAGTGATGAATTTCTTATGCTTGCCTTGCTGTGGTTTTTTTTCTCCAGCCAAAAGTCCACTTTTGTCGGATGTTTGTCCAGAACTTAAAAAAAGGGAAGATCTTTGTCTTCGAGAGTGTATGTGTTTTACTTTTTTCTTTTAATTCTTATAATTCATGTAAAGCCCTCAAAACTGGATTTCACTTCAGTATCAGTAAGATTGGCTTTCGAAGTTTCTTTTAGCACTTTCTTCTAAAAATTTTCTTTGATTTTTTTTCATTCTCCGATTAATTTTTTGAAAAAAAACTAGTCAAATATACCTAGTTACCTCAAAGAAATCGAAAAAACACTTAAAATGCTGAAAAAAAACTAAGTATAACGATAAACAACTTAAAAAAACTTTTTAGAAAAAAACGATAAAAGTTCAATGAATGTTACGTTAGCAACGGAACAAGACTTACAAAGAGGAAAAAAGCCGAACCTCTTCAAGCAGACACAAGTTGAGTGGGGAAAAATTATAAAAAAAATAAAAAAAAATTTTTTTTAGTTTTTGCCAATTTTATTTTAGTAAAAACGCTATCAATTACCGGAAAGGACAATTGTAATACTATATTTTCATACCTCCTCTATTTCGTCAGCGGAGACGTAGAAGCCCCTGAATTTGATGGATTCACTCATTCTTCCAGTTATATACACATTACAGTTCTCGTCTAGCTTTGCAATGTCACCTGAAACGAAGAAGCTTTACCGGTTACAATTTAAAAAAATTATTCTAGCCAGAATGAAAACAACTGCTTCTTTTTATGCTTAGATGTCAATTACTTAGGTATCATAGAAATGGGAATAAATAATCCGAAGGACCGAATGTTCGAAATATTTTGACCAATCAACCTCAGTAAAAAATAAACAAATTTTGAAGTCGGGATAAGCAGCCATCGGATTTGCCCTCAATTAACTTACAAAAGTTTACAGCAAGTTATCTTACAACTTTAACACAAACTTTACGAGATATTTTTCATATTGCAGGCATGTGTGTTGTCTTTAAACTTTCTTTCTTAACCATCTCAAAATTTCTATCATTAAAAAGTGTTTGTCTCGATAGATTTTGAAGACGGATTTGGAAGGAAACATCAACTTTTTGTTTAATGTTTTAATCCAGAATTATGAACTAGCAAATGAAGCTAATCCTAAAGGAATTATATCACTGAATCTTTCTCATAAAGTCATCGCTACATCCAACGATGAATTATTACTAAACCTGTTTTGTAGAAGCCGTCCTCAGTCATAGAATCTTTAGTCTTCTGGGGGTCGTTAAAGTACAACTTATCCAGTTGTTGCCCATTTGGAAGTCTAATCATCATCTGCCCCTCAACGCCGGGCTCAGTGATTAATCCCGACGCCGGGGCGGTAGAGGTTATTCTGTCTCTTTCTTCCTCCCCCATCCGTGCTATTTTGAAAGAGATTCCAGGTGCACACACCCCCACTGATTCTATGGGCGTTAGGAGGCGGTCGTTGGTAGCAAATACTACCCCACATAATTCAGATGCGCCGTATATGTTCTTAAGCCTAAAGAAAAAAGCCATTAAATCGGTAAAATTCACGACCACACTTATTGTTCCGACCACCGAAGATGAGGAGGTTCTTTGGATTTGGTTGAAGTTGTTCATTTATTTCGATATGAAATACAAGTACCTAGAAAAAACATCCCAACAGGTTTGAGTGACACATCATATTGAAGCCATTTCCAAAATTTGCCTTCCATGTGACATCAATAACGGATCCTTATTTGTTCACAAGACCCAAAGTGGTACAATGATGGTGAAATGGAGCGAACAGAGGAGACGAGGTAGAAATGAAGAAAGATACGACGAGAGCGAGTCAAAATATTACGATTACATGAGAGTGATTAGAAGAAACGCAGCGTGAAAGTCGACCCAAAACCGACAGTCGTTTCAACCGCTAAGATTGAGAATCGGATCGAATGAGAGCATGGCGAGAAGCGTGGAAGAGCGAGGGGAGAGTGAATGGCAAGAAATTCCCGCGAGAAGTTCCATTCTGATTGAAAAGACCCTGCTTTGGTCAAATTTACAGCGCCGCATTGAAAAAACAGGCCAAAAAAGACAGTTTTAGGCTTTTTTTGAGGTTGCTGAGCAAAATCCCGCTTTTTCGACGCGCGCTCCCCCTCAAAATTATTATATATTGGCGGCGAAGGCGCCTTTAGAAAATTTTTTAGGGTTCGTCACCAAATATGGATATCTCAAAATAGTACAAAGGGGGGACCCATTGGGTCGTCAGGGGATCGAATCCCTGAGGAAAAGGAACGACTCCCCCCCCCCCCTGTCATATATAGTATCTAATCATATATTACGTGTTGGCGCCATTGGTTAGCTATGTGTCTGGTGCGGCTACTAATTAATTAATACCTGCCAACCTTAAGTTTAGTCTGCGATGTTTGGATTCATTGTTGTTAACCGTTAAAGAATAAACGAGTCAATCTTAGTTCAGTGAATTAAAGATATTGAACCTGCATTTTTCACATGGCGCAGCAAGCAGGACAAAGCGCGGGATCAGGAAAAAATCCACTGGGAATTACGGCATTTTGGCCGAGTAAATGTACGGAAGCACCAATGTTGTGGGAGCATTGGATTACACGATTCACCTGGGGTGTAATAGCAAAACATTCATTCAATCCGACGGCATTTTATTTTGCTAATACGCTCACTGAGGCGCAAATTACCGGTCTGCCAGAGGAGGTGAATGGGAAAAATCGAGTGGAAGCAGAGCAGACACTAATTTCTAACCTCTATTTGTGTTTGGGGGAACGTGGACAGGACGAATTACATAACCGGAAGCCCCATCTGGACCTGGCGACTACCCGATATCCACGGGTGTTGGATGAATTTGAGAGTGTTTTCCGCAAGGAAAGAAACGAAACATTCGAGACGTATCAGCTACTATCTCGGAAACAACGTGACGGGGAAACGCTAGAAGAATTTCACTCCGTTTTGAGTGGACTAGCCGCTAGATGCTCATTGGGAACATTGGAACGACGGGTGTTACGTGATGTATTCATAGTAAATATGTCCAACAAGGAAGCCCAAACGGAGCTATGCCGTTCAACTAAGACACCAGATGAGGTCTACCGGATTGCTTTGTCATATGAACGGGGGGACAAATACGCAAAGTCGTATAAAGTATCCGGTGGGGGACTTACTGCGGCACCAGCGGGTTCACTACAAATTAAAGCGGAGCCTATAAGCGCAATTAGAGGAGGGTACCGTCGTCCATTCCAAAGAGGCGGACGTGGATTTGGCAGGGGCGGCACAAGGGGCCGCGGAGGAGCAGCAGATCGCAAGTGCTACAATTGCGACCAGAGTGGTTTTACCCCGGACCACATTCCAAAGTGCCCAGCAAGAAATGTAACCTGCAATTTTTGCAAGAAAATGGGACACTATGAGCGAACTTGTAGAGGACGTCGATCGGCGAATAGGGGTCGCGTAGGCATGATAAATGAGGATGACACCAATGGCGGGACTACCCAAGATTATCCGGAGGAGAGTGCATCCAATTACGGAAGTTCTGTCGGATGGGTGACTGATTCAAAGACACCGGCACATGGATGGGATTCGGATAGTTCGACGGAGTATGTGGTTATGTCAATTCGGCGGAAGGAGGAAACGGAATTAAAAGTCGCGGGGGCCAAACTAGCCTTAAGAATCAACGGCAAAGCAACTCAAGCCTGGATTGACAGTGGTTCGCCAATATCCATCTTCACTATTGGGGAACTAAAACGTACCCTGGGGACAGTCAACGTACAATTGAAACCGCTGAATCCACAAGACGACCAATTCCGCGATTACGGAAACAATCCGTTAAAACTTCTGGGAAAGATGCAAGTCACGCTTCATTCCAATGGATGGACTTGTTCGTCGGATATAAACGTCATCGGAGGGTGCCGACCGTCTATTATTGGCAGGGATTTAATGCCCTCACTAGGACTGATGCTGGTACAAGCACCATCGACAGAAGGGGTGAAAAGCATACATACCACGGAAGGAACTGTGGCGATGGACAATGACCTGGATGAGTGGCAGACACATTTCTGTAAGCAATTTCAACATCTTTTTCACAGGGTAGGGCGCATTCGAAATTATAAGGTGCAGGCAGATTTCTTCAAAAACCTAACTCCAATTCAACAAAAAGGTAGGCGAGTACCTATAACATTACAGGAAAAAGTCGATAAGGAGATTGAAAAACTGTTGGGACAGGGTCATATTCAAAAGTTGGAAGAATGTTCAGACAAATATTTTGTTTCACCTATTGTCATCACCGTGAAAAAGGACGGTTCTGTTAAACTTGCACTGGAATCTAGAGAACTAAACAAACAAGTGCATAAGAATAAATACCAAATGCCCAATATTGAAGAACTAATGGACATCGTAGGGCAAACTATCAGCGAACGCAAACAGGGGGATGTTTTTTTTACAACGATGGACCTCACGTACGCATACGGTCAACTTCCTTTAAATGAAAACACTAGTAAACATTGCAATTTTTCATTGGTGGGAGGCCGTTCTACCGGTACATATCGATTCAAAACAGGATTCTACGGATTGACAACCATGCCGGCGGAATTTCAACGGGTCATGGATGCCATTCTGGCTGAATTTCCGTGCGCGCATGCTTTCATTGATGATATATTAGTAATTTCGAAAGGTACCAAGATCGAACATATCGCTTTAGTGGAGAAGATTTTAACGAAACTCGATAAAGAAAATATGGCTTTGAAGCTAGAAAAATGTCAATTTGCGAAAAATACTTGCGAGTGGTTAGGCCACCGGATTACGAAATCAGGGATTACACCAATGGTGCGGAAAACAGATCCAATTGACAAATTAACCGCCCCGAAAACGCTCTCTCAGTTGAAATCGTTCATGGGGTCAATCCATAGTCTTCACAAATACTTACCGGCGTTAGCGGAAACTTCGGCGCCTCTACGTCCACTTCTAAGTAAGAAGAACGAATTCCTCTGGACAATTGACTGCCAAACAGCGTTCGAATCGATTAAGAAACAAGTCGCGAACATTGTCGAACTTAAGCATTTCGACGTACATAAGGATATACGTATCGTGTGCGACGCAAGCCATAACGGTTTGGGGGCGGTACTCGAACAACTAGGCACCGAGGGTTGGCGACCAATATCATTTGCGTCGCGGTTTTTAAATGCGGCCGAAAAGAAATATTCGACGAATGAGCTAGAAATGCTGGCCGTAGTTTGGGGCTCCGAATACTTCAGAAATTATATTTTCGGGCGGAAATTTACTGTGGTGACAGATCATAAGGCTTTGCTATCTTTATTGAATGGGAACAATAAGAAAAACAAGACTATGTTCAGTCGATTAACTCGCTGGATTGATAGAATTATCCCCTTTGATTTTGTCATTGAACACATGCCTGGGGCTACAATTGGCCTGGCGGATTACCTTTCAAGGCATCCGGTGGGGGAAGCCACGAAAGTTAGTCTTTATGATAACACTTTCACAGTGGCAAAATTGAAATCAATTACCAATTCACTCGGATATATTGATACCAATAAAGGGATCATCAAAGCATCAAAGGAATCAATTGTTTCAGCTAAAGATATTCAAGTTGGAAACGATAAAGTTAACATTCCACCGGAAGAGGGCGTCAAAACGCGTGACCATCGGTTGACCAATCAGAAGCCACTAAAACGAATAGCTGAGTGTAATGACCGGGAAAGCGCAAAAGTAGTAAAGTCAATCACCGAATGTAAACTACGTGAGTCTGATATTAATTCCACAGTAAACAGTAGTCCTCCATTTAACAAAACAAGTTATCGATCTAACAAAATACACATATCTACAATGACATCACTTAATTTGAAGAAATTAAATAAATTACTGTTGAAACATCCAGAAATAACGAGCGGCAGTAGCAGCGAGGTGGAGATTGTGGATGCACGATTGGAGGCGGAGACGCATCACACCAGGGACATTCGATGCAACACAGTCATCTCCATTCCTTCGGCATTCGGAGGTGAAATTTTTCCGGCGGCATGCCCAGCAGGAGGGAACGTCATCATGTCAGTAATCCCCCGGGACTGCAAGATAGTCCGCAAAAGCAGTGCACTGCCGGAGCTATTCAACCTGAAGCTCGTGGAAGCGAACTATAAAGGGGACCCCCAGATGCGCGCAATAAAAGAACTGGTGGAGAGTAAGGACCCGGATTTGGAAAAGAAGGTCAGAGCAATGGGTGCCTACCTCGGACAGCACACACATGATTTCCACGTGCGGGAAAATTGTCTGTGGATGGACGAACGACTCGTCATCCCCATACCACTCAGGAAGGCTGTGGTTAATCGGATACATGCGTTTCACCATGGGCGCTCGAGTATGTTCGACGCTGCGAGGGATGTCTGGTTTCCCTATCTCCACCGGAGTTTAGTCGCAGCTGCGGATGGATGCAAGGAATGCACCGATGCAGGTAAAAGCCTTAAACCATTATGCGCCAAAGGTGATGTTGGGAAGATCTATGAACCACGCGAGCCGAACGAATGCCTACAGCTTGATTTTTGGGGTCCAATTAGATACTTAAATGAGTCAAGTAAATATGTCTTGGTAGCGGTTGACCGATTCTCACGTTGGCCCTCTGCAATGATCTGCGGAAATAATAAAAGCGACAAGGTCCTTAAGTTCATTAAACAATACATATCTCAACATGGTGTCCCTAGGAAAATTTTTATGGATCAAGGTACAAGTTTCACATCGAATGCAGTTAAATCATTTTGCAATTCCGAAGGAATTGAAATAATTTATTCACCCGTGAATGATCATCGCGCCACCGGGTGTGTCGAACGTACCATTGGCAGTCTGAAAAACTTTGTCTTAACTTACGCTAAAGAAAAAGATAGTGGAAACTTAGAATCAATGATAGAACGAGCTTTGAGTGCTCTAAGATTTGCCCCAAATGCTACTCTCAAGATATCGCCGTTTGAGGCTCATCACGGCAGAGAAGCCAATACGGTACTGCGAAATCTTACGAAAAAGCCAACCCTGCAAAACCTAAACTGGGCCAGAGTGTTGAAACAAAAATCTGCCTATTTAGATTCTACTGACCCCAGAGCTCCGAGGAACATCCAACCCATGGCAACGGATTGGGAAGAACGATCCGACGTGGAGTTTGATGTCGATCATATGAATCACCCTAGGCGACTGACACAAAATCAACTAGTTTCGGCGGCGGATGGAACACCAATGGCTGACGGGGACGGGAAACAGGCTTGTGGGGGAAAGTCTAAACAGCCAAGTAAACGGACCGAACTGTTGTTCCAACGACTCAAGGATAGCAATAAAAGGTATAGACCCATAAACCAAAAAGTAATTCGCGAATCTAAGCACACTATAACTCTAGCAAATGGCTCTGTACTTAGGAAAAGTGGGGTTGCCGAGAAAGTCATCAAATCGAACGCGCCAACTACCGCGAGTAAGCTAACACTACCACTCCCAGCTATGAGTGCATTGCAACGTCGGGCGGAACTAAAGCGAGCAGCGAACGAACAGGCGGCGGGGACGAGCACACAGAGTAAAGCAAGCGCACAGATTAAGGCTGATAACAGAGTGCGAGAATTTTCACCAGCGGAGGAGGACGATTCGGATTCGGAGTACGAGCCAATAACAATTTCCAAACACGCAGGGAACTCAACAATAGCACCAGGGCGAGATGTGGAAGGAAATGAACCAAAAATGAATAACGATGTAGAAGACGGAATTGGAAGACCAAACTTATCCGAAGGAAGCGGAGCTGGAAAATCCCAGGGGGTGGACACGGAGGTCCAGACTATGAGCAACGAGCAAGGGGGGAGTGCCCCAAATTTGAGTAACGAAGGACGAGGGGGGAAACATTCTAAAAAGAAAGGGGAACGAGTACGACGCTTACGTCTCGTATCATACTCTAGTCAAGAATCAGAAGATGGAACAGGATCACGGAAAAGTACCAGGAAGCGGACGGCGGTATCTAAATTCGGCGGGGTTATGATAGATAGTATATTGAAAGCGAGAACATCCAAAGGAGAGGAAGACAGAGAGCGGGACACTAATTGAGCAGGAAGGCACATTTGAAAGAGGGAGTGAAAAAGGAAACTCAAGAAACTTGTTAAACTAAAACTCATGCCCAGGGAGAGGGTGGACTATCGCTGGTCTAAAACTCAAACATTTCCGTTGGATAATTTTAAAACAGTTGTTTGAAAATTGATTGTTGAGGGAATGTCATATATAGTATCTAATCATATATTACGTGTTGGCGCCATTGGTTAGCTATGTGTCTGGTGCGGCTACTAATTAATTAATACCTGCCAACCTTAAGTTTAGTCTGCGATGTTTGGATTCATTGTTGTTAACCGTTAAAGAATAAACGAGTCAATCTTAGTTCAGTGAATTAAAGATATTGAACCTGCATTTTTCACACCCCCCCTAAATCCGCCCCTGATTATAAGTACTAATTACTACTGAACAAAATTACTAGTTAAAATTACCTGCACTTTCCCTCCAGTTTTGCCCTCCTCAGGAGCAGATTGACCTTTTCAAAGTTAGGAATTGTTGCTCCAGCCAAAATATACTTGAGAGAAGATAGGTCAAACTGATCTAGTTGTTCGTACTGGGACAGGAAATTCAGCACCACAGGAACTGCTATGATGTGAGTCATTTTGTACTTTTGCACCATTTCTAGCACTCCCACTGACCCGGGGTAATCAGTCACTACCTAAGTGCATGACTAATGACATCTACGTCAGCATTTATTTTGGAAATTTTTTTTCCAAAGCGGCCAAATTTTTGCAAAAAAAGTGAGGATGCATATTTCAGATTATATATCACAAGGGACTGGGGATTATATAACACAAGAGACTATAATGGTAGAAGAACAAAAAAAGCGCGGTTCGATTCGAATATATCTTTTAAAACCTAAAACCTTTGAAAACTAATAAATCACTGATATCGTCGGTTGCGATCTAAGACTGAGTGAAACTCTGTTAGTTTTTTACCCTTTATACTTGTTAGAACCCATATTAGGATTAAAAATGAAAGCCCTACTTAAAGTAATGTCATTTTCGCAAGGTATTCTTTTCCAAATGAAACAATAGCCTAAAAATGCAGATTTCACTTTTAATCCTAATATCGGCTCGAAAAAGTAAAATGGTAAAAAAAAAATTGAAAAAAAAACATAAGATACAAAATTTTGTAGTACCAATGAGGGTCCATGGTAGATAACACTGAGGAACGCAATGTTTTGGCCCCCCACGTGGGAAAGAGGCTGGGCCAGAAGGGATATGTCAGCTGGAGAGTATACATATGTTCCCTTGGAGGCCAAGGCCAAGATGTTGTAGAAGATCATCTGAGGGCTGATTTTGATTGGCTTAGGCGAACCTAAACATTCAAAGTAAAAGGTTGAGGATGTTTTTTATGGAAATTTTTTGAATTTAAAAATTAGTGAAAAAAAAAGTAAATGTGAAACAAGAAACAGATTCAACTCATTCAATTGTCATGAAAACCGAACTAAATATATGCGTAAAAATTAAAAACATTAAATACACTAAATCCAATCAATTCGTATAATAAAAGATGGCTACGCGATAATACACAGAGGCAAAGCGGAGCCTCGCACCACTTGCGATACAATATAAAATTAGCAGTGCAAGCTAGCAGACAGGAAAAGAAAGCCAATAACTCTAAAAAAGACCAAAAAAAAACTTCAAAAACCATAAAACATCAAAAAGCTGTCTGGAATCATGTTCTACTTGCCCAAAACACGTCCAGAAACACTTTTGACGGCAATTAAGGATTTTTAAAAAATTAACAAGCGGCAACTGAGCCGACTAAACTAAAGTAATTTCCCGTAGAACCGAAATTATAATTGTTGTCATAAAAAATGTAAGTATAAATTGTGTTCTAAGAATTTCAACAAATTTTAGCATCTTATTTCGAGTATTTGTGATCGGGGTAATTGTTTTTTTCCCCAATTTTTGCCTTTAATTTAGCAATTTTGATATGGTTTATGATACATCTGAAAGCTACTGATGTCTTGAGTATAAATTAAAATATATCTTTTATAGAAATTTGAAATATATTTTACCTTTGATTTTTTGAACAGCCATAAGGATCTGAAAACTGTCAACTTACCTTATTTAAAAAAAATAAAGCCCGAGAGTTTTTGTGCTATTATTGATATACGGCCGTTTATTCCGTTCCAAATTGAATTGAGGCAAATTATTTTGCATTAGCAAGATATTTTAAGTTGAGTGTATGGGGAGTTCTTTAAACAAAAACACCAAAAAAATATTCACATTTTTTTCGTTTTTGTTTTGATAAGTTTATCTAACTTTTTTCCATTTCAAAACCGATTTAATGAAGGTACATTCAAGTTTAAAGATAGCCAATTTGGCCATTTCCGAACAACCAACGCGCAATATTTTTCTGCTAATAACGCGAAGGAAGAGATTTAATCCGCCCTAGAAATAATTCCAAATTGAACTGAAGCTTGTTTTTGATCTATTATTTCTTTGCTGCATGCAAACTATATCACTTTTGACTTCACATTGCGCGTGGGGGATGGTTTTCTTAAAAATCTCAGAAAAATAAGTAGTAGAAATATTCACGGCTTTGACTTGATGATACGAGAAATCTTTATTTCTTCCGACCAATTGCGATTTGTAACTAGTCGCTTTTGATGGTTTTTGCTAAATTAGTTTCGATTGGTTTCGATTAGCTCAAATTCTATAAAAATATTTCAGCTGCGACTTAATTTTGTTAAGTTATGGCTAGTTGATTATTGCAAATTAGGCCTAATTGGAACAAGAATGCTCGTATCAGGGCAAAACCCTGAATTTTCCGACTGCCTTTAAAGGTTTATGGAGCAGTAATAACATTAAGAAACTAAATGAAATAAAACAAAATGAAAAAATTTTTTTCTCAAAATTGAAATTTTGTATGAAAATTAACCCAATACCTGCCGTATAAAGTACAAAAGGATGAACTTTGCTCCTTGTAACAAATCAATTATGGCAAATAAGTTTTTTTCAACCAATTTGGAACGATTTCTAAGACGGATTAACTCTTCGCTTACGCGTTTATAGCGCGAATATATAGCGCGTTAATTGTCCCAAATTGGCCAAAATGGCAATCTTTAAGCCCCATTACTTTACGAAAAAAGATCACAGATAAAATTCAAGACAGCAATACTTTTCGAATGATTAAAAAATCCGTCAAAAATGGCTAGTTAAAAGTCGAAATTTGTCTGAAGAAAAAAAAACTCACATTACGAGGCCAAACTGTGCATTCTGTGCATATGAAGCGGATTCCGCAACAGGCCAAAATCAGATTTGTCGTGGAATCCGCAACATTGCTATTTTTCTTTGATGTTTTTTGCTGTTTTGGATTCCACAATGAAATACTTAAAATATTTTACCGCTCAAAATCGCTCCAAAAATATCCGCAATTGTATTTGCGGAATCCAAAACAGTTTGTGAGATCCACAGACAAATAATAAGACATGTGTGTAGTTACATTGAGCTGTTGCGGAATCCGCAACTGTAAGTGGAATCCGCAAATTGTAAATGGAATCCGCAAATTGTAAATGGAATCCGCAGTTTGTTTGCGTATTCCATTTATTTTTGCGGATTCCACTGACATTTTGCGGATTCCACTTACATTTTGCGGATTCCACTTACATTTTGCGGATTCCATTTACATGCCTATTAGCAAGTGTGTTGATTGGTATGCCCATACAAAGGAATGAAAGTGACTCAATTTCGAGATTCGTTGACCTTAATTTGCAGTTTCCAACAGCCTGCATTTTGCCGTATATAAAACTAAATGAAATTGACATTTGCGGTTCCAACTTTTGAAGAAAATTTGGAATATTTATGCTTGGGATGATTTTATATTCAGTCTTTTTTCTATTTCCCTATACCATTTTGAAGATATCGCTAACCTAATTCTAAGCTGACATCGTTTTCTACCATTTTGATTTTTACTCATTTAGATAACTTTAAATCTATCATGTTTTGAGCAAGCACCAATATGTTCTGTCAAAAATCCTTTTAATCATGTATCATCTCAATCCACCCACCGTTTCCGACCACTTGTAATTTTTACCGAATTAAACTTGCGCTAACATTTCCCGATTGTCTCGCAAAGTCAATGGCTAACGCACAGGATAAATTTTTGAAATTGAAGGGAGGGGACGGTGAAAGAGCCTTTACAACCTATAGGTCACAAAATCATTCAGAATAGGTTTGGAATTTACCTGATGTTCCAGAAGAAAGCAGCATCTGGCAAACATCGTCCAGTTCATGTCTGTCGTACTCAGGGTTCTCTATCTGCTCCCGTCTCGTACTGGTCAAAGTGACCTCATAACTCTCCCCTCCCTCGTCCTCCCCCTCCCCCTTTCCAAGCCCCTCTCCTCCTCTGGAGTCGGTGATTATGACATGTGTCAGGAATGGATGGTCTATTTCCTCGGCTATCCTGAAAAGGTCAAACACATGAATTTCTACGACAGTTATGTGGAATACCAAAAAACATAGACGAAAGCCACCGAGTTGAAACTTTTTGAAAAGCCTGCCCAAAAAACATCAACCAAAATGTTCATACGCTTGTCAAGTGAAAATAAATTTGATTTGATGAAAGGCAGTCGACAAAAATGACTTCCAGAGTTAAATCAGCTTTAAAAAAAGTTACCGCGCAGTAATTATGCTTAAAAATTTGTGTAGAAGAAAAACTTTTAACATTCCAAATTAAATTTGTTCAATGAAGCACATGAACTCATACATAGCACATGAACTCTAAGGCTTTTCAAACAATGCAATACCAAGCAAGAAACCAACATAACAAATCAGACCCATTTAAGCCAAAGACACCTTCGTTGCGAAGAAAAAAACAAGAAAAAAAAACAGAAAATCTTGAAACTCAGTTACCTGCGCTATTGAAAAACTTCTCGATATTGTATTACAAAAATTTTTAAATCGCTGAACTTTCAGAAAAATTTTGCGTTGACAGAACAAAGCTAGCAAAGTGAGCCGAAACTCAGTAGCTCAGAAAATGCATTTTTGAAAGTTGAAAAAAATTTAGTGCGAAAAATTACGCCTGCTCTTTGTCTTGCCAAGCTTAGAAGTTATCCCACAAAATAAGTCGAAGCAATCACTGAATTTAGAATAATTTCAAGCAAGGTAGTAAATGCTTTGCTTAATCTTTTAAGCAAGTAATCGACTTTAAATTAAAACTACGTTTTAATTTGAAAGGCTTGTTAGTCGTAAGCCAAAAAATTTAAATTGCCAAGTTCTCTTGTAAACAAAAACAATGTCACCACAAAAAAGCTTTTCGAGAAAGTTTGAAGTTTTTTGACAACTTCAACCGATAACTGAGAAAGTCTTTTGGGCTGTTACTCTGAATCAATCTACAAAAGAATGTATTAATTTCAACGTATTTTACGACGCTTAAATGCAAGAAACTAAGTCCGAACAAAATAAGAAGGAAACTAAGTCCTCGCAGCCAAATAAACGAACATTTTTCGTTTTTTTAACATTAACAGAAAAGTATAAAAGCCAGAAATTTAAACTAAAAATTTGCTGCTCAAATTTGCAATGAAAAACTTTACCGAAGAAAAAATACCGGGGTTTAAATAAATTTGAACGTTTACACAGAGGCGAAGCTGCACTTTGCAAACATTTGCAAGAACACGACCAAAAATCAGCTCTATCAGGTGAAATAAGAAAAGTAGAAATAAGCCTCGATTTAGCAAAAACTCGGCCCCGTGTAGGATTCGAATCTGCGACCTACTGCAATCAAGAGATTTTGCGTATCACGCACTATCCACTCAACCACGCAAGCTTAACAATGGAAAAACACTATTCACGAATAAAGAAGCTACATATGCTTTTAAATTGCCAATGCGATTCATCAAAAGCGGCACCAACTACAAATAGACTGAAGTTTGCAAGTAATAAATTGGAATTTAACAAATTGAAGGCATCCACACTAACTTTGCATGTAACACATTGCAAAGCATAAAACCACCTTAAAAATATGCATTTCAAAAACTGCGAGATATATTGAGTTGGAAATCTTCTGAATCGAGTGTTAATAATTATTATTTTTTGAAATAAATCACTTTTTTCGGTTGATTTGATGAATTAAAAAAGCATCAACTCTGTTAACTTATAACTATTCGAATGTCAAAACTCATCTTTTGGAAAACTGTGAAGGTTATCCAAAATTGACCCCAAAATTTGCGACTTAAAAGAAGTTAAGTAGTAATAATCTCGCTTCGCAAGTGTAGAAACGATAAATGAATTTTTGATAATTTTTTTTAGTTCTGATAGCAGTGAAAGCTTCCTAAACCGCAATTTTATGCTCAAAACGACTATGCATTCAAAAATTAAAATCTAGGAAATACTTATTTAAAACAATAGCAATGATAAAGAAAACAAATTATAAAACAGTTGACAAAAAATTATCCAAAATTTTCTGCAAGAAAATCCATAATATATTTATTCAAAGTTTCAGTAAACTTCACCGAAAAAATATTATAAGTGCAGCATCTCTCTCAAAAAGCATAGAGTACAATTTCTAATAAAGCTACCATTTTAAAACGATTTAAAAATTTTAAAATTTAAAATAATTGGAATTTAGTTCTATAAAAAAAAACTAAAAACTTTTTGAAAAACCATTGGGCAAATCAGCCAAAAGCTTTAAAACCCATAACAAAAAAAGTTGAAAATCGTACGTAATGAATTTTAGGACATAACTTTCCGCTGCAGGATTTGTATATATTATCTACAAACAAAGCAAAAACACTTGTATACAGGATAAAATGCAAGTGATGCATTGGTAAATTTTTCATATCCGGTTTTAGCCCTTACTTTCATAAAAAAAAGCAACAAAAACTTCTAGTACCTGATTGCTATGACCTTGTTTATAGAAAAATTATCAGGCAACATTATAATTTTTACTGATGGATGGCTGGAAGAATGAACAAGCGAAGACTGTTGAACTGATTCACTTACTGCTCTGATCGAAAAATGACCAATATATGCGTCAAGGTGTTTGACATATGTTTCGAGTGAAATTGTTCGAACACATGTAAACATTTGACGCAATTTCCGCGTTCGAAACACCCCTTCCGTCAAACACAAAATCGGAAAAGGCTCAAAAACATGCTCAGATGATAGTCGATTACAAATTCTATCCATTTTGTTGATTCTATTTGAGATCGCAGCAAAAAAAAACGCCCCAGAGGTGTAGAAGTAGTTACGTCTCCGCCTCTCAATCGTAAGGTCGGATGTTCGAGGCCCACCATGATCCGTTCTTGTTGCTTTAGGGCGAAGCAACATTACCCATCCAAGAAAAATAACCAAATCAAATTGCATGTAGTTCTTATGCAGGGGCATAACAGCAGTTCGCCGTGATGAGATGTACAGTTCGTATGTTGGTCCTTTCCCTCGTGGATGAATGGTCTTAACCTCTTAAACTCGAGCTATTTTGTTCCGTAGTTATAAGCAAGTATTTGCGTGAACAAAAAAAACACCACAAAAACGAAAGAAAACAAAATCTGATGAAATATAATTATTTATTATTGACAAAATTAAGTCAACAAACAACATATGAGATAGATTGAGATTGTCTCTTGAATAGGCTTATGCGTTATCTCTTATGATAGTTTTATCCGTTACGGATAAATGAAACGCTGGCATGTTTTGTGGTTATATCCCCCTGCCTTTATTGATACCAACTGAAGTTTTAAATTACGAAAATGCCTTTATTTTACTAAAGTTTGCAGTGCTGATATTCCAAACGTCGAAATAAAAATACAAAAAATAGGAATTAAGTTACAATTAAAAAAGCATTTGGGTTCATTTTAAGAATATAATGCAAAGAAAAACAGCATAAAATATAAAAAAACAGCCAGTTTGAGATCTGTCTCACCTCAGCATCTTGCTTTTTCTAGGAGAATTGATCCCATTTTGTAGTACAAAAAAATATATAATTTCATTTTTCATCATAAGGGGGGTATAGCCCAAAAACAAAACAAAATTTTTAAGTCTGTCAATTTTTTTTAAGTTAACCAGTTTATTCGAGTTCACCTAAAACCTTCTGAATAACAATGATTTCTGAGCAGGAGGGAACATTTAGAAAGAAAACAGGCCAAAAATCACGTTTTTGAGCTTTTTGAATGAATTAGTCTCGGTCAAATTTTGCCACAGGCGCCTTAAAATAATTTAGAAAAAATTTGGCAAGCAGAATTGAAAGAAATTGGTTGCAAACTGAGTAATTTTAAATCGCTGACAATTGCTGGAAACCAGCTACTTTTAGTGGAGTTCGCTATAACTGAAAAAAAACTCGTTTGTACTTATAATACAAAGCAATAGTAATACAATAAGCAAGGCAAGTATTTGTCTTTGAATTCCTCATTGTCTGTGGTTCCTAGTTTTTAAGCATTTGTTCTTTGATACCAATTCAAAGATTGTATGTGGAATCCAGTTCCAGTTTTGCGGGAAAAAGAGACAAAGTATGTGGAATCCAAACCAGTAAAAAATTTACCCAGCGCGGCGTCGTAAGGAAAATTTTTCAATTTCAAAATTTTCACCTCCTAAATTTCGGGAAAAGTTCTAACGCGTTTTCGACCAAAGACAAAGAAGAAACCTTTGAAAATCTTTATAAATTGTTTGCTTCGATTGACTCATATCTGGTGAAGTTTGTCGAAACATTGAAACGTAAATCGCGCACTTTGAAACGGTTAAATAAATTTTTTCACACCGCACACTGCTTACTTTTGATAGCAATTTCTTGTGAGTACAAGAACAGTTGCACATGTTGTGGTGATACTCCTGCTAATCTCAGGCCAGGGGGAGCTAGGGTGGGTGGCAGAGAAGACAACTTCGCCCCTCATCAGATGACAGGCAATGAAGACCGCCAGCCACTCCAAACTGTTCTCCCCCACCATGAGGATGACCGTTTTCTCTCTAGTGCAAACACCCCCATTCATCGCATTCATCTTATTCGTTTCATTCTTTTCATTTGCCTTACTCTCTCTTGTCTCATTCTTCTGGTCTGACCTTTCAAGTCCGGCGTCGATTAGCTGCGATTTCACTCTCTGTCCGACAGCGAACAAATGGCTGCAAAAATATGAGCAAAAATTTCTCATAAGTTTCCGATCCTTCAAACCTAACAATTAAATTACCCACTATCGAGATTTCATTCAGGTTAGTTATAGTTTTTCGATTTAAAATTTAAATAAGAACATAGAAAACGGAAATTGCACCCAGGTATAAAGACAGTTATGACGATATTTATTTTTAAAAATCTGGCGAAAATTGCTGTGAAAGCTATGACCTGTATGAGATATTTCTGTCTGTCAACGCCTCAATAACTCTGCTGTGGGGGTACATTAGGGTGAACACTTCTTCCAAGTAGTCCGCGACAGTCACCCATCTGTCCGTGTACAAAGAAGTGTCGAACTCTCCGAGCGGCGATTCAAATATTCCATCTGAATTCGGAACGTACAGTCTCTCGTATGACATTATTTCAAGTGGAAGAATCAGTTTGTTTTTTGAAAAACAAAACAGGTTTTGCGGAATAATTGCCGATGGCACTAAAGTTTTTATTATTATTTATATGCTGCAACCAAAATTGAAACTTTAAATGGCAATTTTATGAAGCTAAAAGTCAAACTAAACCGTCTTTCCAGTCCAAAAAATTTGTGACGTTCAAAACTTTATGGGTACAAAATCAAATCTAAATGTTTCAGATTAACTATTTTTAAAAACTATAATTTTTAAACCGGTTCAGTTATGGCCAATGGTGAAAAACTCTGCAAATTCTGTTTCATGGGAAATAATCGTTTATGTTTTGCTCTCAAGTATAAACCGACACTGCATGCTAGACTGAATCATCCATCATCCGAATCGATTTGAAACCATCTGTTCGGTTTTTGGTTGCTTCAGCGATCAACCTTGTCGCGTATTGATTTTCTGTATATAAAAAAGTGTGGTGTATTGACTAGCATAAAACTCGATTAGCATAAAAGTTTTAAATTTGAAAATTGAATCCACTAGCTGAAAAAAATTGGAGCACAAAATTCAGATATTTTCAAAATTAAAATCATTATGCTATAAAAACAAACATAAACAAGGATAGCCGGTTGCAGTGCACAGAGTGCTCCGACCATATTCTTGAAAAATACAAAGTTTTTCATGTTTGATTTTTCAAATTAGTGCTGTTTCTTGTGCTTAGGTACAAAAACCTAAAATTCAGGCATATTCGACAGTCACAGTAAATTAAGTAAATCGAGCAACGGTTTTTGTCAAAAAATGACCAGAAAAAAAACAATGGTTAATTTTTTGCAATGGTTTTTTAGCGTCATTTTTACTCGAAAAACGGCGCTAAATAGTATCAAAAACTCTGGTACCTTTTTTATTCGAAATTTTTAAAAGTCGCTCGAATCAGAACTGAAAAACCCTCCATATAATCAATCTCTCCACCCATTATGATGATTAATTGTGGAAAGTATTTTTAGTTGAAAAAAATAAGCCTGCTCGCTCAGCATATTTGCTCAAAATTAAACCAAAAACTAAAATATTTAAACAGGTTTCTTCTCAACACTGAGAAATTTTCAAAATATTTTTGAATTTCGTAGGAAACACGACTGAAAAAGCTTCAATATGATATATCACTCGACCCGATCCAATGGTTATTTATGGCTACTGATATCGCGTGCGAAACAAAAAACTAAAACTCGAATGAAAATTTTCTCTATTTTCAGTACTCGGAACATTCACAGTTTAATTGCTTATTTTAAAATTTGCGACGCAGACAATGTTCGGTTCAAGCCATTACAGCTCGGGAATTTCATTTTAGGCTTTTTTTCTCCTATGCCGTTTGCAAAGATTTCAAGTAATTTTTCTGTTCAAATTGTTCGATTGTTAGAAAATTGGCATGCTTGATTGGTGTTCATACTTTACCTTGTAAAAACACTTTTTACACCACAAAACTGATGCTGGGACGAAGTGGGTGGAAGAAGAAGGATCTTCAATTTATTGTTAATTGCTAAGTTTCTCCATAATCTATTTATCAGAAACGCAAGTTTCAATTGTCGGTGTTGTTTTGTATTTCTGCGAAATAAAGCTAGCAGCATTCTGCTAATCGATACATTATCATGCGTTCAAACTTTTATGCTAGTCGAGTTTGATATTAGTTGAACGGTCAACATAAAAAGAGCATAGCCAACCAGTCACACAAGTTGAGATTGACGGGCTGTTTTTTCCACTTTCTCCCTCAACTGAAATTCAGATTTGAAATCTTAATACAAAACTGCTCGTATCAGGGCAAAACCCTGAATGTTCTGACTGCTTTGGAGCAGTAATAACAAGGTCTATGGAGCAGTAATAACAAGAAAAATTTAAATGTAAAGTAAAAAAATTAAATTTTTATTTACTTTCAGATTTTTTGTAAAAACATTCCCCCAAACGTCATACTAAGTACAAAGTGATAGATTTTGCTCCTATTATCAAATCACTTATGACAAATAAGCTTCTTTCAACCAAATTGAAACGATTTCTAAGACGGATTAAATCTCCGCTTATACGTTAAAAGCGCGAAATCTATCGCGGGAATAGTCACAAATTGGCCAAAAAGGCAACCTTCAAACCCCCATAAGTTTACAAAAAAGGATAACTGGTGAAATACCTTTTCAATTGTAAGCTTAAGACAATAATGCATTTTGAATGATAAAAAAAATTCCGCCAAAAATGGATAGTTAACAAAGTCAAAATTTGTCTGAAGAAAAAACCAAGGTTGTATTAGGGGGAACATAGATTAAACGAAGAAAGTATTCGTAAGGCAAAAATATTTATCAAAAAGTGTATATCTCAGCAGAAACCAATTTTATTGATTACCTCGTTCGGTTGCCGCATATCCAATACACGCAATATAGTTCAAACTGCAAAAAATTGACCACTGCAACGTAATGCCAGCTTGCCAAAAGAGGGTAAAACTATATACGATAGTTACGGCAGGTTAAAGCAGCAATATTTAACATTGCAAAGAACAACTCTGTAAAACATATTCTGAATTAATCGGAAAAATTCATAATCTAAAGCGAAGAAAACCTAATTCGGAGTGCTCATTTTATGTTTCGACTTCGCAAGTCTAGCACAAAATCAGCGCCGGACCAAAAATGGTTACTGATGACAGGGATTTAAAGTTTTTTTCTGTAACAAACTCGCAATTTTCAGCAACGGATTGCTGCTCCATAAAACATCTGCAACAGAGAGCGCTGGAAAAAAAAACAGATTAAATTGAGAAGACTTTTTAAACCGCTAATACAAGATGCATTTCAGTGAAATTCTTTTATAGTTTTGAGATCTTAGGTTTTCTAGGTAAGAAAAAGATATAGCTTTTTCGAACATTTCTCACAAATATCTACCCGCACTGAGGCCAATTAAAACTTCAAAAAGTCAGCCATATATTCAGCCACTAAGTTTAAAAAATAAGTTTTGCGTGTCAAACTTTTACCTTTTTGATTACTCTTATAATTCTATACTGGTCAAAAGTCACCCTGAGATTTTATCTGAAAAAAATAATAACGAGCATGAACTATAATCCTCGAGTAGATAAGACGGTCGAAACATACCTCAAATACGGTCGAAACGTACCTCGAGCACTGTCGAAACATACCTTGACGATTTTATGTATGGGCTATGGCGACTAACTTTCCAGGCTTCTGGGACACACTTTTAGACTATCGTGAATTAAGGATGGCTTCTCTGGCCTCAATTATTACACCTAATTGGAATACTATGAGTGTAAAAGGACTTAAAAAATGAGTGAATTTGAAACAAATTATCGGTATTAAGAAAGGGGTTAAATTGTTGTGGGGTTATCTTGTTACGGGGTTATAAAGTAGGGGGGGTAAACATAAGGGGTTAAATATCGTCGGGTTAAAGAATGGGACACCCAAATCCGGACCATCGCGGCGCATTTCTAGAAGAACGTAACTAATTTCAGACTATCGAACCCTTATACAAACTTTTCCAGATTCTTTTCCGCGACCAAGAAAACCAACAAAGACTTTAAATGTTCAATGTGGTTTTTCTTTTGGTATTGTTGACTTCCCAACTTCAAAGAATCTTTTTAAAAAAGTGTTTTTCAAACTGAGCCATATACAACTACAATTTACGAATAAAAACCATTGTTCAATGAATTGATAGTTTTTAAAATTCAGTCATGAGTATTTCTATGGTGTTCATGGATGAAATGAACTTTTGTTTCGACTTTCGTAACGAAAATAACGGAATATTTGTGCTCGGGTGATCTTTTTTCTTCAGACAAATTTCGAAATTTTTAAATTGCCGTTTTTGACGAATTTTTTCAATTGCATTCAAAAGATACTGCTGTACTGAGCTTAAACTTGAAAAGATAATTCACCTGTGATCATTTTTCGTAAAGTCATGGGGGTTTAAAGATAGCCATTTTGGCCAACTTGGAACAATTAACGCGCGATAGATTTTGCGTTGTTAACGCGTGAGCGGAGATTTAATCCGTCTTCGAAATCGATTTAATCCTAATTGCTTTGTTACTAGGAGATAAATCTATCACTTTCTACTTTATACGGCGTGTGGAGAGATGGTTTTCACAAAACACCTCAATTTTTGTTTTTAATTATTTTATTTCAATTAATTTTGTCATGTTATTACCGATCCATAGTACTTCAGGGGCAGTTGGAACATTCAAGGCTTCGCCCTGATACGAGCATTCTTGTTTATATTCAAGTCGTTTAAAATTTTCTGTTTTTTAACAATTTCTAACCCTGTTTCATATTTTGTTGATTGATGTTTTTCGTTACGCAAGCAAAGCTTAGATAAATATTGCAGTCTTTTTAAAATTAAATGTCGCAAGTTTAAATTAAAACTTTTAAGCTCGATTTTTGTTTAATTATTTGATTTCGGAGGTTTGATTTTGTTTGTTCATATCAAGCTAATCTGCTGAATGAAAGCCAGTTTTCGTTCTCCAAGAATGAAAGAAAGCACAGAAAAAACAATTCTGCTTATTTGGTTTTCGGGATTTGAATTATTTCGGAAAAAAGATCAGTAGTACAATAACACGAAAATACAACGAACTTTTGGGTACAAGGTTTTTTTGTTTTCTTTTGTTCTCGTTTTTAAGTGAATGATATTTTTCCGGTTTTTCCAGGTTCGAATCAAGAAGTCAAATTAAGATTTCAGATATATAAGATTGACCATTGGCGGGCTGACTTTTGTTATAACTTGTAAGACATGAAAAATCTTAGCATACAATTCCATACTTACATTATATGGCAACTTTCAAATTATAAAACTCCATATCTAAGAAACGCCAGGGGAAAAAGCTGTTCATGCATATGCATTTTGTGAAATACAAGCTTTGTATGATTTGTGTGCAGTTTGCTGAGACTAAATTTTTTTCATTGTTTTGACTTTCGTAACAAAAGTAACGGAATATTTCTGCTCGCGGTAATTTTTTTTCTTCAGAGAAATTTCGAAATTTTTAACTAGCCATTTTTGAAAAAATCTCAACCTTCGAATTTCGAAAAAAGAAACGGCTTTCTAGAACAATTTATGATTGCACTTTTTGGATAAAAATTACCCAATTTGAGAAAACCAGGTAAATCGTTATTTTTATTCCGATGGAAACCTGAAAGTTAAAATCCATTTCCGAATTAAGAAGTCGATCACGTTTTTCATTTTTACACTTTTGCTGTTCAATAGTTGAGTTTCCCTTCTTTTAACAAAGGAAATGAACTGAACATAAAAAAAGTCGAACCCCGATAAATCAAATTAAACAAAGCTCCAGATACAACAATGAACATTACTCAAACTTCTTATGGTACGCGCTAGCCTCTTAGCTTGAATTATCATACGTAACTTTCGAGGCAACTGAGTCCACATATTTTTAGTTTTATCAAACTTATAAACCTGTGACGGAAGATTTGGTTTAAAGTATGGTCTTGTTAAGTATAAGCAAGAGGTTGAAAAAAAAACAATTTCGGATGGCTTTAAAAAGTTCCAAGACTTTCTCTAAAAGCCATAATTCTCGTGCAAAAGCCATTTTATTGTCCCAATTTTGTACTATCGAACGATTGAATCCTTTGCTTAAATGGTTTGACTTAAGTTTTATGATTGATTGAATGACATCTTCAAAATTGAGTAAAAAGCCGATTCTGTGAATGTTTCGAAGATTCTGACCAAAATTGCATTTTTACGTCCGCATTCTCCCCTCAATTTTAGTATAGTTACTGAAGAAGCCTTGGCACCGAAGTCGCAAGAATGGCTGTGAAAAAGTATCAACGGGGGACCACTTGGGTAGTCAGGGGACCGAACCCCAGAGGGTATTGAGGCAGACGCCCACCCCCTGGTCGTATGAGAGCTTCAAAATAGAAATATTTATGATAGATGAATTTATATTTCACGCGTATGGTACATGAAGTTTTGTATTTACAGCTATTCACAATGAAAATATATACAAATTATTTTCAATTTAATACACTATAGAGATGGAAATGAAGTCCTTAATGGCTTCTAGTTCTTTCTACACATCTTGACTTTACAGTCCCGAAGCTGACTTGTTCAGTCCGACAGGCGGAGTTTTGTTCGCAGCCGCACTGGGCTGTTTAAGATTGAAACCTCCGCCTGCGTATCTGTTTTTGGACTCCTGGGACTGTGGTTGTATCGGAGGCTTGTTCATCTGCTGCAGAGCCAGTTCCCTTTCCTTCACATTCTGCTCTTTCTTCTTCTGCAAGTAGTACTTCTTCTTCGCCTCTTGCAGTTCTTTCGAGAGACGCTCGATCTCAAATTTGTAATCTGACGCCTGACTTTCGTACATGTTCAGTTCACTCGCCATACCTTTCAGCTGCTTTGTCTTCTCCTGCAATGTCTTCTTGTACACTTGCAGCTGCTCGGCAACCTCGGGTCCTGGTTGTCTCGCCAAAATATGCTTCAACTCCAGATACAACTTCTCTTTTTCCTGGATCAGCAGTTCTTTCTCCACAACCTCCTCTGTTTTCTTAATCAGCCTACGCTGGATGGCCTGGATCTTCTGGATCATCTCGTAGGTGCTCGGGTCAGATCCTTCCAACTTCCTCCACCTGTGAATGTTCATCGGATTTTCCAGCTCTTCCTCCAGAGCTTTGCATTTAGTTCGCTCTCTCAGCAACTCCCGTTGCATGTGGTACACTTCACGACGCAGTTCGTCAATATTGGCTACGTTCTTGTGCAAAATATTCTTTTCTCTTCTAAGAGACTTGATCTCAAGTTTCAACAACCGGATATCCTCTTGCCTCGCCTTATACTGGATTTCTCCTTTGTTTAGGGTTGACTGCTGGATTTTGATCTTTTCGTACAAAAGCGCCAGCTCATCATTTCTGCGAACCAACTGGGTACCCAGTATGTCTCTCTCGCTGATAACTTGGTCCAGCTCTTTCTTTTGCTTGCTGTGTTCTTGGTCCGCATCAGCAATGATCTTGAGCAACTTTCTCTGCTCGGTCGCTTGATTGCTGATGATGCCTTTAGTCTCAACAGCCTTTTGTCTGAGTTTATTTCGTTCGGCTACCAAGCTTTCTTTCTCTTTCTCCAAAGCCTTGTACTCCTGGTTTTGTTTAACCAACGCTTCCTCCTTCGACTGGATTTCTTCCTTGAGTTGGTCAATCTGATGGTTCAGAATCTTCAGCTTCCGTTTCATCTCAGTGATCTCATCTCTCGCCTCAATCAGGCTCTTGTTGTACAAGTTTCGGTCACTTCTAACTGCTTCATACAAATTTTGCTGTTGCTTCAGCTTAGTTTCTGCCTCTGCAATTTTCTTCTTGTAGTCGAAAATCTGCATTTCTCGCACCTTCACGTCTTCCATGTGCTGCAGAACCTTCTGTGTCAATTCTGAAGCTTCGTTGATGTATCTATCTCGCTCTTTTTCCAGTTTGTAGATAATCTTTCTCTGCTTCTGAGCTTCGTCCTTGTAGTTGGTAATTTCCTGCTCCAAGTTAATTTTGGCCTGCTCGTGAAGCATTGCCAAATTCATTTGTTTCTGAGTTGCTCCCGCAGCTTTCATCACTTGTTTGTTGAGCATATCGCGTTCCCTGGTCAAATCGTCAATCTGTTTTTTATCCGTGTCATTTTGCTTCTTAGCAGCTTCCAAGTCTCGTTCGTAACCTCCTATCTTGTTCCTCAGTTCTTCCTTCTGACTTTCAACTGCCGTTTTCTGTTCCTCGGTAGTTCTGCGTTTTCTTTCCATATTTTCCAGGCCTTTCGAGAGCCTCTGAACTTCAACTTTCAACGTATTCACTTCGTCTTCCTTTGACTTAAGCTCCGCTACTTTTTGGCTGTTCTCGCCGGCCAAAGCATCTGCGCTGATTAGTTGAACTTCGTAATCGTTTTGCAGTTTGGAATGTTTGGCATTCAGAATATCGAGATCTTTCATAATTCTCTCGCTATGCGCTTTCTGGTCTTTGACTTCGTCTTGTAGGCGTTTCTGATCCATTGTCGAACGTTCAATTTGTTGTTTTATTTTACCGTTTTCCACAGTCTTGAAAGATATTTCTTCCTTGGCATCTTTGAGCTGTTTTTCCAAGTTGTTTCTAGCTCTTTCCTCTCTAGATGCTTCGTTGTTTTTCATCTGAATTTCCTGGTTCAACTCGAACACTTTTCGCTGATTCTCATCTCTCTCATACGTCAGGTTGTCGTTAGCTTCCTGGGCCGCCTTGTTTCCCTCTCGCAGCCGCACAATTTCCTCCAAAAGCTCATCTCTCTCTTTGGTTAGATCATCCTTTATCTTCAACAAGTCACTCACTGAATGCTCGCTTCCCAGTCCAAGACCCGCGCCTTGCTCCACGAGTTTACTGAGATTAGCTATTTCCATTTTCAGAGATTGAATCGTATCCCTCGCACGTTGTTCCTTTTCGTATGCGGCATCCACCATTTTCCAAGCCTTTTCAATCTCCTTCTTCAGAGAAGAGATAGTGCTCTGATCTTCCTGCGATATTTTGACGGCAGTTGCTACCTTTGCTGAGTTGGCCACGATCTCGGCCTGCAGCTCTCGACATTTCAACATGAGACGTTTCTCGCTTTCGTGCGACTTCTTGAGAGACTTGTGAAGTTTCTCGTACTCAACTTTAAATTTCTCTAATGACTTGTCACCAAGAAGCTCTGATATAGTTTCGTTGAAGTCACGTTCGAGTGCTTCAAAAGCTGCATCTTCAATAGCAGGTTTGTCTTTTTCCTGCAGAGTTGCGGAGGATGTCGCATCATCAGTCATTTTGTTTAAATCTGAAATGATATCTGACTAGCCTATGATTGATATCCGTAACAAGGACTGAGTCCTATTTCAACAAGCCCTCCACCAACCTATAGCTCCCATAATAAAAATGCCACTTTAGTGGCGCTCAGGCTTTTTTTTAATTTGAAGCTATGATCTATAACGGGTAAGAAGCTGGACTCTGTTTCAGCACGAAACATTGGAGGGGCGGCTACGGCATATTTTTTAAAACTATATCATTATAAAATCAAAATTATTTATTTTTGTTCGAGCAATTAATATTCAACTCCGAATTTTACCACAGGATAATTGAACACTAGCGGGCAGTAAGCCGAAAAATCAGGATTTATTTAGAAAAAGTTTCCGCTTGTGATGGTCTGTCCAGAAGATTTATATTGAAAGTTTGAAATAGCTTCTACCCACGTCAAGAGAAATTGACCAAAACTTCGGTCTGTGGAGAAACGGAAATTTGAAGGGAACTCTTTGCAGTTTATTTTTGGTTATAAAAATGCCAGTATTCTAGAACTTTGTTATATCAAGCTTTTTCAACGGCATGAAAAATTTCGGTTATACTGAGTTTCAGAAAAAAGATCACTTGCTTAACGCCTTTTCATACTTACACACAGAAGCGGAGCAGAAATTTGCAGCACTTGCGCTACAACACAAATATAGCATGACAAAAGAACACACAGAAACTGAGATGAAAGCTGCAAGGTCGACTTTTTTTAATGTCGAGAAAAACCAGGTCTACCAAAATCTTCATATTTTTATCTTGGTTTTTCTTGAAAAAAACTTATTCTTACAAAAAACATGTCTGATAAAAAAAAATAAATTAGCATCAAAACAAAACTTACAAAGCGGTAAAAAGCCAACATTTATGAGCAGACACCCGTTCAGGTTACAAATTTGTTTTCATTTGAAACAACTTGAAATCAGAACAAACTCAGATGATTCATAACACAGATGCGAAGCGGAGTTTCGCATCATTTGCGATACCACATCAGTAGAAAACAGACCTACGACACAAATTGGAATTACGATCAATATTATTGTTGGAAGAACATTCCGAATTTTAACGATTGTGCAGCTACAATCGTTACGGAGCAATTACAGAGAATTCGGAGGGGAATTTTAATTCCTTCCCGAGTGACGATAAGATTGCTGTTCACCCGGATTCATTCTTAACATGAGGCCGAATTTCTAACCCCTGAGATTACTATGACAGCCCCCCAACAACAAGTTAGGACATTCAAACTTTGAAAAAACAATTAAATGGTAATTTTCATGAATATTTTTATGAAAAAATCACAAAAAACGTCATACCTGGAAAACTACAATGATTTGAGCTGTCAAACTTGGAGGCAAAACTCGCAACCCCCTGAGAGAACCCTGAGAGAGCCTCACTACAGAGATGAAAATTTCAAAATTTTGTAAAAAATTTTTTATACCTCGGTTTTCTGAAAAATTTTGAAAAAAAAACCTAAAATAACGTCATTATTAGGAGTTACCTAAACTAACGTCAAGATTTGAGCAGCCATATTCAGAGGCAAGATTCGCAACCCTTGAGAGTACCCTCACAAAATCCAACAACAGGATTGAGATACGTTTTGGAAATTTTTTAAATCTAAGTTACTGAAGTTTTTTTGAAAAAATCATAAAAACTATCATATCGCGAAAACTACAAGGATTTGAGAAGTCAGAATTGGAGGCATGATTCGCAACCCCTGAGAGTACCCTGACAGCACCCAACTACAGATAATATCCTACTATTGGGTTGCTAATTTCAAATTGATGAAATAAACACTGAAAAGTTAGATTACTTCGATTTTTTTCCTGAGACAACGTGTATAAAAAACAAAAAATAGTGGCTAAAATTACCCGATATACTCTAGTAAAAGACCAAAATATACAAGAGACGAGAACAAAACAACCAGTTTATCTGGAAAAAAGACCGAAAAACAAAAAACGAAATCTGAAAAGAAAAAGTTAAAATATGACATAATTGGTTTTAAGTTTGACATTGGTTAAGTCGTCCTGATTTCCATTCTTGCCTCATAGAGCATTGCAACAAAAAAAGCTCGAAAATCCTCAAAACATTGTTAAAACACAGTTGGAAAAAAAATTCATCAGAATACTGCACAGAGTTCTTTGCGATACCACGAAAAAAGTATTGCAATCTAGCAGGTGGAAAAATAGAGCCAATAAGTCCAACTAAAATGAAAAATGAGTCGTTAAGCATACCAACGTGGTAAAAAGGTGCATGATTGATTGACAGACTCGAAAAGACGCTCAGTCTGGGGCCAATCTTCCCCAAATTCATACAATTACATCACGATTTGTCAACCAAACTACCAACTCTAAAAACACAAATCTAAAATAGCGGCAGAAACAAAGATTTACGCGAAGAATAACACTATATTAAATTGCAGCACATGGGAGCAAGCGTTCGCGAATCACTAATTGCGCGTTTGAAGTTAGGTATCTGACTTTATAAATGTCCTGAGCAGCGTCGTCAAGATCTTGACTTTTTTGAATTTTGATCTTGACTACACAATCTTTACGTTGACTCTTGACAAAAAGTCAATCTTGACTTTGACCTTGACTCTTGTTTCCACATCAAAGTCTTTGCTTCAATCTGGGCCATAAAAACTGAATCTTGACTCAATCTTGATTTTTCCGAAACCTTTTTTTGAAGAAGCGCTCAAAAACGAGGAAACGAAAGATCCAAAAAATGTCGAGAGGCTTAAACAAGTAGTTAAACTGTTTTCTTTTAATTTGCTTCTGAGGTTCTCATATCTTGAAGCAGTTAAATGAGTTTTAGATAGTGATATTTCGAGATATGCCTCCTAAGGAGAAAACAATAAGTTGAAAAGGCACAACATCAATGAGTGATCACATCGAACAAAAATATGAACGGAAACCCCAAAGACAAAGTGTTGACTGCAATCAATGAAATATTTCTGTGCAGAATGCTTCAAGAAACTAAACACAGCCTATCAACATATGTGACAACCAGCTTTAATCTGGTATTGTGGTTTTTGCTACCCTGCTGTGAAGGAGTCGATCAATAAGGAACAAGAAACCGGAGAAATGATATTTTATTTTTAAAAAAACTCAGAGAAAACTCAACAATGAAAACATGAACACCATGATGACTGACAAGCTTTTAGCTGGACCAGCTCAGGGATGCATAAAAGAAAAAAACAGGTATTTGGAATAAGTTAAAAGCCGGAAGATGAAGCGTCTACAAAAATTATAGAGGCAAACGAAGAAAAAAAGCGCGAAGCTGAAAAAATTAAGCGGAAAAAACATTATCATTTGGCGAGGAAAAAAAGTACGGTGAGTGAAATCGAAGAAAGAAAAAACGAGGATAATAACTTATTTGATAAGCTTTCATCAAATGGTGACAAGGAGGCAAAGAGTTTGTAAAAAAAGACCCGACTTGGTCGGAAATCCAATAACCAAATAAACAGACCACTATGAGTTTCATTCAACGCCGAACAAGATGTTCTTTTACTCGAAATCTCGAAGAACTGAAAGACGCAGATGCTGAAATTAAAGTTGAAACCTCAGGATTAGTCCCAACCGAAGTTTGAAGAGAAGAGATGAAATGCAAAAACTAGTTACGAGAGCCAAAAAAAACATGAACAAAGCCGAATAAGGGAAATTTGTGCATCTGGTTCCTGTTTTGCATTTTAAAAAATTACAAAAAAAGAAGAGGCAGGAAAATTATTTTTTTTTGCTAGACGAACCATGTCACATTTTTAACAAAAACATCAAGAGTTGGTAAAATAAAATAATGACATAAATTACCCACAGGATGTTTTTGATTTACTTGAAACTCAACCAAAAAAAAAACAGAAAAAGTATTTGGATCTCAGTTTGGCACAAAAAAGAGAACTACAAAACAAGTCAGTTATCCGAATCCAAAAGAAAATGGACGAGGAATTTTAATGTTAATGAACAAAAAAATTTACTATTTGATAAGTTAATAACAAACTGATCTCCCAAGATTTGATGATATACGACAATGCTGTCGGTCGAAAAACCATTTGCCTTCAATTATCTACCGGAGTCCAAACTCAACCGAGTCAAGTAGTAATTCTTTGTACCGCTCAGCCATGGACATCTGTGATGAAGGTTCGAATGATGTGGTTGTTATACTTGGTAATACAAACTTATCCTCGATCAACTGGGACAAAGTGAGTACAACTCAAGATGATTAGAGCAAGAGTTCAAATTTCTGGAAGAAGTTAGGGTTTTATTCCTTATATAACATATCAACGAGCTAACAAGCATCACAGCAGGAGATAAACAATCACTTCTTGATATCACACTAACCGCCGGTCTAAACAATCTTGTGGCTAAAATTAATGTACCTCTTGCACAAAGTGACCATGTTCTTTAGAACGGAAACGAAATTATCAATAAATCTTGAGGACAATAAGATAAAAACTCGAGGCAACTCTAAAATGAAACAAGACTGCTCGTATTAGGGCGAAGCCCTGAATGTTCCGACTGCCTATTAAGGTTTATCGAGCAGTAATAACATTTGAAATTTTTTTATGGAAATCATCCCCCCACAAGCCATATAAAGTACAAAAGGATAGATTTCGTTCCTTGTAACAAATCAATTATGGCAAATAAGCTTCGGTAAACTAATTTGGAACGATTTCTAAGCCGGATTAACTCTCCGCTTACGCGTTAATAGCGCGAAATATATCGCGCGTTAATTGTCCCAAATTAGCCAAAATGGCAATCTTTAAACCCCCATAACTTAACGAAAAATGATCACAGGTGAAATATCTTTTCAATTTTGAGCTCAAGCCAACAATACCTTTCGAATGATGAAAACAAAAATCCGTCAAAAATGGCTAGATAAAAAGTCGAAATTTGTCCGAAGAAAAAAAAAACCCACCCCGAGCACAAATATTCCGTTACTTTCGTATCGAAAGTCGGAACAATTAGAATGGAATGCAATATGAAATGAACCAAATTGAAATTGAAGTTATAACAGCA